AGCACACGTTGGGGTTTTTGAAAGCCTGGTCTTGGCACTGCCTTCCGGACCGTGGAGCGACGTGCCAGCGCAGCTGGAGATGCTGTGCCCTGTCTTGCTGGGATGCAGCCCATTGCCAGGGCTCCCCGGCTTGCTGGGACCAGATGTGGCAGGACAGATGTGGCAGGCCAGGTGGCAAACAGATTTTGCAGGGTGGCAGTATCTTTGGAAGTGTGAACAGAAATAGCAATGCACCTGGATTTCTTGAGTGTCCTTGGCAGGTTGGGCAGAGGGAACAAGAGGGAGAGAAGAGAGGTGGCTTGTTCAGGGATATCTTCACTATTGGCGTGGCAGCTTCAGGAGAGCTTTATTCTGTGATTTAACATTTTATTCTGCCTTTTGGCTTTTGCTGTATTGTCTAAGAATTTTTCTGCAAAAACCTCAAAATATCCGGAAGATGTGGTGATAGCAACAAAGAAAAGTACCATCTCACAGAGTCATTAAAATTGTATAAGTAGTTTCAGAAGCAAGTTGCTTCCTCTGAGAAGCAAATCGTCCATAATTCTGCTTGGTATTTAGAGACTTTTATCTCCAGAGAGAATTCAAAACTATTCAGTATAGTCTTGATTTATTTTATTCTCTTGAATTTTCAGAGCTAGAGATGAAAAAGGGCTTAACAGAAAAAGAATTACATACTTGTGCTGTGCAGAGAGAAGCCAGGGGCCAGCTCGTGATCCACCAGCTATTCAGCAATTCACGTACCACCCTGAAGGACCCATGAAACTCTTTTCTAGCCAGCTCACTCCTTTTGGGGATAGCAGATTCAGACTGTTTTATAACAGCTGGCCATCAACCAGGCTCGCTTGCTATCATAGCACGCCGCCAGTACAATAAAGAGGAACCATTAATGCACGAGCTGTAAATGTACAGGCTGACAAGTTCTTGGTGGAAACGTCAGTAAAGGAAGTTGGTTTGATTTATTTCCAGCAAACTGTGGTGAGGATGAGTCCAGGATAAGTCATCTTCACATGCACAAGAATTAGTGCAGCAAGTTTCTAAATATCCTTGTTCTCTTAAGTGTTTTCTTGGCTTCTAAGGCTTTCTGCTTTGTGTTGCGTGAAAGAAGAATGTAATCTTCCTTCCCTCTCTGGGTGGAATTTCAGAGTGCGCTGGAGTTGATGCCCCAGTTGTACCTCTGAATCATTGCTGGACCTGGGCAGAAAGCATGTTTTATGGCTTCTCCTGGGGAGATGAGAGAGAGACAGGTGCACCTTGCAGCTGTAAGGAAGCAAAAGCTGTTGGGAGGATGGCTAGCTCAGCAAGGCAAAAATTAGTTTACAACAAAGGGGTTTGAACTGTGTGTACCACACTTTTGTGCCTGAATTTAGAGAGTAGGAGGCAGGAGGAACTTGAGGAGATGGAGAGCTGTGAGGACTGAAATACCTCTTTGTTCCTTGCAAGTTAGAAACTTTGATGTTAGGCTAGGAAGAAAAATGCTCTCGCTCCTTTCTCTCTCATCCTATGTCTTGAAGTCCAGTGTCTGTTCCCACTGCTCAGTGGTGCAGATGTGATGGCAGTGACGTGTCCTTGTGTTGCACTCCCTGGGTATTTTGCAAGCACCTCCATCAACCAGATGGTCTATGGGTATGGGTCGTAGGAGCCTGTGTAGTTCTGCTGTTTGGTGAACCCCAAGGTGTATTTCTATTGCTGACAGCTGTTTCTTGGGTTCGTGCTCAAAAATCAAAGTACTGGGAAGCCGTTCTTAGCAGTGGGTAATGTGTTAGGTGAACGCAGCATCCCTCTGTGCTCCATGTTCTAGGTAATTACAACCCTGCCGCTCACGTAGCAGAGCGCAGCGGGTGCCCTGTATTTATTATTTAACTTTGCTGTTAACTCTAAGCTGGTGATGCAAAGGCAGCTGCTTCTCTGGGAATCTCGTAATTTGCCTCTTCACCAAACCAGGCTGCAAACAGGAGAGGTGGCCTTGAGGTCTGTCCTTTGGAGCTGAAAGTCACCGGACCCTTTCCCAGTCCTTGGCTGTTCGTAGTTTGCCTAGAGTCGTTACCCTCATACGGTTTGTTTTTGCAGAGTCTAAAATGAGAACCACCCATTTTAGCATGGTGATCCCATAGTGCTTTGGCCGAGAATGACGGGGATGTTAATTCCAACATCCTCCTCAAATGGCAGGCAGGCATTTCCCTCCACTGCTTTGGCTGGAAACTGTGGGGTTTTATGTCTGCCTTTCCTTGCCCTAGTCCAGAGGCACAGTTAGGCTGCTGCCCTGCTTTTCCCTCGCAGTGGCTGCCTTTTAGATGCTGATACAAAGTGTTTGCTGCAGGTGGGATCGTATTTATCCGCACAAAGACATGGTCTTAAAACACCTTGCCAGATGATATTAGACAGCTGCGCTAAGGTTGTGGAGAAGCGCATGCTGGTGGAGGAGGAGGCTGGTGGGGAGCGTACCCAAGGGCTGTCGTCTCTCACTGTCCCTACCAGAGGAATGAGCTCAGCACTGTGGCAGGGAAACCTGCTTTAGTACTGACATCTTCTCAGGCCTGGCTCTTTTTGCATCTCCGACCTCTGTGTGTGGTTGCTCCTCTTACTTCTTCTCATTTCGTGTGAGAAACACTGACAAATCTGAGTGTTCGCCTCAACTTTCCCTGGGACCAAGCCGCACCCGACGTGCTGCCGTTCCCTACGCCCTCCTTGGCGAGTGCCGCGGCCAAAGGTTTCTGCTAGTTTCTGCTACAAACGCCTTTTGTCGAGTTGCTCTTTTGAGCAAAGAGGCAACGTGTCAGTGTCTGGCAGAACGCAGCGGGGCCGTGGAGGGGAAACAGCGGGGATGAGCAATTGCCGTTTTTCTCAGTCGTGTCTCAAGATGCGTTTGGAGACTTTCTCCCCTTCTCTCCCTCTGACAGCTCCGGTAGCCTCTTCTAGACTGCCTTGGCCAGGCAGGAGGGGGCAGTGGAGGAGAAAGAAGGCAAAATGCATCTGAGGTCCTGTATCAGATGCTTTGCTACTCGAGATGTCGTTGTTAATCACCGCTGGCTAGCAAGGGCTGCTCAGGATGTTTTTTGCACTGAAAGCATGCCTAGGGTAGCGGTGCAAGAAGTGGGACCTAAAGGAGGAAAAGAAGACTGTGAGTCTTGGGGAGTGGCTTTGGAGCCGACGCTGAGCGCGATGCAGCTCCTCGGGGTGCAGACCTCAAGGAGGGTTGAGAGAGGATGTGTGTGCGCCTGTGTGCGACTTCAGCGCTGCAAGCGTCAGTTCCACAGCCTGGGCTGTAATACCGGTGTGAGTAAATTTGACGTGATCCTGCTGTTTTGTCAATAACTTGGAAAGTTTTGAAATAACTGCTTCAAAGTGCTCAAATGATACGTTGCTCCATAATCTGTCTCTGCTGCTGCCAACGCTTCTAAGTAACCAATTTGCCGTGCGCTTAACCTTTTAGGGCTTTTCCTCCCCAGGCATTACTCTGTAACTCCCACTAAAAAAAAAAAAAAAAAGAGAAGAATGCCATTGCCCTTCTCGGAGGTGGCTAATGGTTTCCAGGTGGTTTTTGGCAGCTTCAGCTTTTTAAAAATGTGTTGAGCACACAACTTCTGAAATCAGGATGTTCTTCAAATGTCCAATGGACATCTGAGCATGGGGGTCCCTCAATTTTCTTGAACTGAGAGAATTGGGACTCAGAAGGCAGGGCTGCTGGTGGGAGCTTCCCAAGGGAGATGTGATGCAGAAAGAGAACAAGCTACAGGGAGTGAAAATGTGCAGGGGCTCCCTGCTCAGCCCCTGTCTTGCCTTCTTTCCTACGGCCACGTCTCAATATTTCTTCTGCCTCCCTTGCCTGCCCGTAAAAAGGGGATAGCCCCTCTGAAGCGTGCTGAGATGAGAAGGTGGAAGTCTAAATGTAACCTAAAAATAGCTTAATTGAAAAAATTGCAAGTAAAAAGCTATGTCTTTCTTGAACAAAACTCCTGGTGACTTCAAAGGCAGATTAAAGACTTTGCCTGTGTCAGGACTTCAATATTTGGCCCAAGAATTAGACAAATGGAATAGCGTGAGAATGTTTGCCAGAAAATTGGAGAAGGGAGAGATAAGGTAACAGATGAAATACTCAAAGTCAGCATTTAAGGACATTGCTGCCTGTAGAGATAATTTTATCAACCTGAGGGACAACCATTTCTCCTATAAAGTAAAATCTACCCTCTATGTAGCTGTTTAAAATGGCATTTGTTAAAAATTTGTTTAAGTGTGCTGTGGGAATCTGCTGTGGGACAACCAGTGCCAATATCTGTACTAATGAGAGTTTTGTGGATTGTCCACTTACTGCTCTTCATTTTGATGGTGTTTGGACTTTGAAAGTTAGACCTATGTGTGTTGGGAGTGCTGTTACCTTGTAAGAGGAGAAAAAAATGGTCCTGCTCTTGGTCTTGTCCTGAATCCTTTTGCACGTGACAGGCAGGGAAGGAGGTGGTGACTGTCATTGGGGCTGGAGCAGTACAAAGAATTTGTTTCTAGTTTGGTGGCCAAAGTGACTCTCTGTCTCTGACTCCCATCTCTCAAATTATGGTTTGGTATGAAAATGTTTTGTCCTATCCTAAAACCAGAAGTCAGTATTATATTTTAAGTTGCAGGCTGCTCTGAGTGAAAAAAAGGAGGGGGGGGGAGAAACATTAGAGATGTGACTCAATATTGATTTCCACTTGTTTTTGTGGAAACGCTAAAAATGCCAAGATGAAATATTTTGATTTTTCCTTGTGTTTCTTTTCCATTTTTTTGTTAGAAGCTCTTTGCCCAGTTTGACTCCAATTCCTGAATAATTCATAGTCTGTAAATAGCTTCCTCCTCCTCCTCCTTTGGTAAATAGACTCTTTGTCCCAAGTGCTTGGCAGGCTCAAAGCAGTGTCATCCTGCTGAGTTGCTGGTTCGAGAGCCGAGGTGCTCACGGTGCCGTGTGTTCTCTCTCTGCAGAGTTATGTCATGCCCAGACCACCAAAGGGCTCCATGAGGATTTATAGAAGATGCCCCGTGTCTTGGCGCCTCTGGTGCTCCTTCTGCTGTGGCTAATGAAGATCGCTGCCAGCCCCCATTCCCTGAGGATTGGTGAGTACAAAGCCTCCTCTGCCCTGCATTTAAGCATCCTTCCACTCATTGTTTGGGCTACTCTGCGTAGACGTGCTCGGACAGGGGAAACCAAGCCTTGCCTGTGGTGGTTGGGCTCCCTGCGCTGGTGGTGTGCTCCCCGTTCAGGTGGGGCTGAGGCCCTTGCTGAGCTACAGTGTCCCACCTGTATTTTGGAAATGTTCCCTCCTTCATCTTATGAATGAAATGCAGTTTATATTGGGCGTACGTATTTGCATTAATTTTTATGGTGGTAACGTTACCTGATGGGAATCTCTTTCTGTATAAATTTGAAGTGAAAGCCACTCCTCAAAGGGGCACTGAGGAATGAAACTTGCTCCCCCCCACTCCACTTGATGCTCTGCTAAGGTCCACACAAAAGGAAGTAGTTTTTTGTCACAAATTTATCTGTGCCCACAGTGATGAGTAAGGAGTGTTTGAGCCCAAACTGAACCTAGTTAACCGGTGCAACAAGAACATTAATAACTCCAAAGTGCTCCGTTTCTAAGAGTGTCCTATGCATTCGGACTCCTTTGGGCTTTATTAAAAAGTGTTCAGGAAGAGGCACCATCATCTTTGCTTGCTGCCTGTGTGGATTAGGGAAAAGAAATGCATCCAGAAACCTTGTAATGAAACTTGCTTCATAGTATAGACACTTTGCTCTGTTGTTTAGAAAGGAAACTGCTTTACCTGACTCTTCTCTCCGGAGCTACTAGCTGGTTTTATTAACTATTTGTTGCAGATAAGAAGCTAATCTATTCCTGTCCCTGTTTGCAACTTTCACAGGTGACACTTGAAGTAAAATTACTTCTCCCCTCTGCTAGTGGAGCATGGAGCAGCTCAGAAATATAGCAAATGAGGGTCTGTGCTGGCAGGAGTCTGGGAAGGGTGGCTGGGTGTTTTATATCCCCAGCATCTGTGATTCATGGGGAGCACTCATGCTGCATAGTCTCAGCTCCGCAGACTGCATTTCACGTTGATCGGCAGATCCTCCACTTGAGCCAGCAGATGGGAATGGTGATGGACAGTATATTATCAGGATGCTGAAGGTGAAAGATCCTTCATTACACCTTGTGCTCCAGCCACCTCCTCCTTTGGGGAAAGTACTGTGTGTGCTTGGGAATGTGAGGGGAAGGGGAGCTCCCCTGGCAGCGCACATAGCAGCACTGGGCTGCAAACCAGTCTGGGAACTGGCGTGGTCGTCCACCTCCACAGTGCAACCCAGAGTGAAATGGGGAGGTGTTTGCGAGAGACGGGACTGTGCTTTTGTGTTCCTCGCTGAGGACTGGAAATGAAAATCTGTGCTGCACTGCACTGGGGGCAACTATCAGGTGGGATTAGCTGCTGCCTTCCAGGTCTCAGCTTGGTGCATGCTCAGGGGCTCCCTAAATGGAGTTGGTGGCGGCTGCTGTGAGGCCAAGTCAGTGCTAACCCCTGAGGGCAGGCAAGAAGAAGCCGGGGTGTCTGTGTGTTCAGGGGACACATGAGCAACTGCAGTGTTTGTAGAAAATCTGCCTCCTTCCATCTGTTCAAATACTAGTTTTGTCTTCTGTGCTTGGCATCTGCTGCTGGGTGAAGGAGATCTTGACACGTCGAAGGCGTATCCATAATAGAAATTACTCACACACTTGAACACAGGCATGATTCACATGTCGCCTGGTCCCACCATCTCATACAGGTACACAACTGTATGCCTCTGTGCTTAGAAGAGATGCACAGTGGTGAATAGCTGAGCGCATGCTGCTTAAACATAAGCATCTTGTCGTTAGCATCGTGGACCTGGTTGATTCCCACACGTGAGCCTAAGGCAAGAATTTGCTGAGGGAGGGGAAGCTCAGGTTGGTATGTTAGTACATATCTACTGCTTTTGCTTTGCTCATGGCCTCAGAGCTAACTTCTCTGAAAATGGTGTCTGAAGCAGATGGGCAAAGAGCTGAGGGGGGGGGTTGGGGTTTTGGTTTTGTTTCTTCAAGACAGAGTTTTATTTTAACAATATATCCAGCAAAAAAAGTTAATAAAAATAAAGTACAAAATAAAAGGAGCAAAAAAATATTACTACCAGCCCTGAAATCATTCCCAAATGCATGCTTTTGGCAAGGCAGGGAGGTATGTTATCTAGCAACATAAATCAATGCACTGCATAGAAAAGGAAAACAGACCAGCATGAACATTTAAATATTCAAAGAAAATGCAAGCTAACATTTAAAATAATTCTGAAAGCCATCTGGTAATGGACTGCTCAAATGTACACTTATGTGATTAGTAATGTGAGGTGAACATAGGCAATGTTGCGTCTGGGTTCTTCACCAAGTTGCTAGAAGAGGTTATTGCCTGCTGCGCTTGGCTTCCAGGGTAGAAGGAAGCGTGGTGGTGCTGAGTCAGGGGCACTTGGCTTGGCTTTTAAACTAAGCACTGAGCTTTCCTGCTGCTGCTTTCTTGGGTTTTGCGTGGATCTTGGCGCTGATATTTCTCAGTGGAGTTTCTAGGCAGCAGATTGCTTAATCTTTGAGCACACAGTGACAGGAAGTTCTCCTAGCCTGGATGGGACCAGCAACGAGTGTTGCATTCCAGAGAGCTTTAGAGGCATCATCTATGCAAAAAAGTGAGCAGAATATAGGCTACAGGGTGACCTTCCCTGTGTCTTTGGCATGCATAGGAACAATCTGTAGTCTATCGTGTGCTCTATTTCTCTCCTTGATAGGCAGGAAAAAAACATTGGTGCAAACAAACCTTTTTTTCAGCCTTTTTCTTCAGCCTTAAACTCTGTGTATTTCTTTCTGATCCCATCCTGGAGAAAGTCTCCTAGTTCACGTTGTTTTGGAGACCTTTGGGGGGGAAAAACACCGATCCACATGCTTTATCCAAATAGTGTCTTTCTTCTGAGTGCCTTTTGTTTATCAGTCAGCTTGCCTGTTCTGTCCTGGTGAGGTATTATCTCCCTAGATGCTCAAAAGATGATTGTGATCAGGGGATGAAGAAGCAGGCAGGAATGGGCATGTTCTCGGAAGTTTTCAAGAGCTCCAGGAGGTGTGTAAGGAATTGCCTCGAGACATCCTGTAGCCCTTGAAAAAGCCAATATATGTCCTAATAATATATGTCCTGGGAGCAAAACCCAACAGTTGGTGCTTGCCCAACATGTGCTCTGTTGCATCCATCCGCACCAAAAGCACAAAAGACATCAGCTTCCTCCTGCCTGCCCCAGTGGCGGGCAAGGAAGATGGCTGGTGCAGTGTGCTGTGGGCCAGCATCTCCCCTAGCTCTGGTTTCCTGTGGTATATACATATACCTGGCTGTAGAAGTAATTCTGGTTTTGTTTTTCGTTTGTTCACTCATGCTCAGTAAAGTGTCAGGAAATTTACTTGAGTTATTTACTCAGTTATTTACTTGGTCTTATAGAGTAGACTGTCAGAGCCCTAAATTGGTATTCTCTTGCTAGATTCATTGGGTGTACTAACAGCTTATTTAAAATTCATATACAAGCCAAAGTTGTAGTTTATACGTGGCATTGCCCTAACTAGCAGTAGGCTCAGTAGCACTGACATACGATCTACTGACAAACTCCTTGCAAGGCCTCCTTCAGCCCTGCAGCTCTTTAAAGTGCTCTTTTCTGTAATTGCCTTTGTCTGTCCAAATCCCTTCCCTCCCTCTACCTCTCAACTTTGCAAAGTTTATACAAAAGGCAAGATGCAGTTCTAGCATTTAGAGTATTTTGTTTGGTGAAATCTAGTGTTCTTCTACCCCATACCCAGTGAAAATGCATCCACCGCTTGCTCAGCTGATAATTGAAGCAATCATCTGCACTGCTGTCCCAGTGCTCGTGGTAGGGTTTCATCCAGCAGAGAAGCAATGTGTGCTCAAGGTCTCCACAAATCCAAACTGACAGTGGGGTGTCACTAGAGGTGCCAGCCTGGGACATTTGTCCTTGTTTCTAGGCACGTTTCCAAAAATCTGAAATACCTAACGGGCTGTGAATCTCCTACATCTGCTGTGATTGTGGAACTATAATGTCAAGGAAATGTTCTTGGGATCCCCCGGAGCATGCGGAGTCGTGGGAAAGCACTGGCATTTAGCTGTGCATGCTGAAGTAGGTGGGAAGAGGCAAACTGGAGACATGCATCCAGCTTTTTCTGCATCACTGCAATTGCATAGTGCCCCTCCATTTCCTACCTATCACCTTGTCACAGACCTGTGTGGCAGAGCACCATTTGTATGGCCTTGCAGCCCTGCGTAATTACCCTCCCAAGGTCCTTATGATACTAAGCTGCTTGTTTAGTGAGCTAAAGGCCCCACAGCTGCACGGTGTGCTTCTGCCCCGTCCAATGCAGTTAGTACATTGGTGTGTCTGAGCTGGAGGGCTGAAGCAAGGAAGAAGAACTGAGCATTAAAAATGTGTGGCAATGAACACAATTGTGGACCATTTAGTTCAGCTTCCCCAGCTCCCAGGGGATATATGTAATTCTCCTAAAGGCACTGCAGAGAAGATCCCACAAGGCAGCATGTTATTTAACATTAACATTTTTAAGGGTGATAGTGCCATTGATGATGAAGGTGCAGTCAGTCCCCCGGATGCTGTAAAAGAAAAATGTCAATGTCCGCCCCAGTGGGCAGGTACAAATGCTTCCTCCCAGGGGTGCGGTCCGAGGTGGAGAGAAACACGACTGTGCCCTTTATGGCAGGCAGGGAGAGCTGTGGCTTTGTGACAGGTTGGCTTGTGCCAGCCCCAGTACCCCCATATCCTGATGGCAGCTTGCTGAGACAGCTTGAAACTCCACTTCTCTCGCCTGCGCGGAGGCAGGGGAGCGCATTCGACGCAGACGGACAAAGCACAAACTCCTTTCCTTACGCAGTGCTGCTTTCTGGCATACCCAAGGCCTTTGTGGATGATAGCAATGCAACTGCAATAGACTGCTGTCCACCAATTCGCTATTCCCCAGCAGAGAAATGGCCTTACCCTGGCTTTGAACCCAGCAAGGCTGCTGCGA